AGATATAAAATCCGGTGTTCTTATAGATATTTTTTTTTTTTTTTACAAAATAGTGCTCAATGTAAATTTACAGAGCATTAATATTATAAATTAATTGATTTAAAATATGTTTTTTTTTTTTCGCGAAAAAAAAAAAAAATCCATATTTTAAATCAATTAATTTATAATATATATATATATATATATATATATATATATATATATATATATATATATATTGATAATGCTTGATTTTTAACCCTTTTCACTTATAGCATACCTATATTTTACCACGCACGCATCTCTCTCTCTGTATTGACTGTAAAGGAACGCTGCGTCCGCCAAATCTGAGGAAGTTCATCCTAATGAGACTGGCTAAAAACAAAGGCCCGTAAATCTTCCAGGGAAATGTCTAACCTTTCTGTACATAAAAAATCACACAGAACATAACCGAATTAGTAGAAGAATATAAGAACTAATCGTGGTGCATGTCCATTGGTTAATGGTGAGCCAACAATAAAAGAATATATATATATATATATATATATATATATATATATATATATATATATATATATATTATTATTATTATTATTATTATTCCAGTATCCTTTTCCAACTTATACAAGATGATCTTCGCCTTCTTTAACTTTCTATTCTGAAGTAACAAGGTGCCTTACACTTTACACGTACGATTTCATTTTCAAGATTTTTTTTCACTGCTCATAGATTTGTGAGTTATTTAAAACCGAAACATATTTAGGATTGTAAGAATAATTTGACTTTTAGGCGGGTGAATATTGCACTAACACGTTTTTGGAGACAACAATGAGTACAAAACAATTATGCTCTTTAACCCATATCTGGGGGAAGAGATGGGTGAATATCTTTCCCAAAGGTAAGTGAATGTGAAGAACACTACTGGAATTTGAACTGGGCCCGCCGATTTCTCATTCGTTATCTATTGCACCATCTGCACTTCCACGAACAATGAAGCTAGGTTATTTGATATTTCTACATGTCACTCGTTGTTGGCTTATTTAATATAGTTCTTTTTTATGAGACAACCAGTATAGATTTAACTCGTTATTAATTGTCAACTAGACTGACTTCGCTAAACATTACCTCAAACTAATAATACGATAGTAGAATGGCCACATAACTTGGTTGTGAGGCCACTCCAAGATCACCCTACAAAAACGGTACAAAGAAGAAAGAGGCACTAAAGAAAGAGATGGTTGTCTAATGGACAGGTGAAATTTCTGCCCAGACCCTGGTGCGGCCCAATGACCAGATCAAATAGAAGCTTCTTGTTGAACAAGTTCTCATGTAGAGTCCTTACGACCCCGGCGGATTATAGGACAGGAAGGAAAACTGAAACACCAGTTTTGGTTTGAACACCACAGTTTAGCAGTGTCAAGCCCTGTCAGTATTTAGAGGGAGACTGATTGGGAACAGTGGGTTCTGTAAGCGAAACCTTGGTATAGAAACAGTTGGGTGCGGGTTAGAAACTTCATCCCGTATGGAAACCACAGCAGCAGCGCCTTGTGTTGTTAAGAGCCATGGTTCCCATGTTCTTCAGTGAAGTCTACAAGATGAAAAAAAGGAATAATAAGTAAAGCTATTACTCCTCAATCTGTAGAAAGGTTCGCCTCTTGTCCAGTTCACACTCCTACCCGGTCTATTGAACAGGAGTAGAGGTTTAGGACTGGGTTTCTGGTTTCTTCTACTGTTTTCTCATTCTCTTTTACACCCACTAACCCCTTGCGTTTTAGTGGCATTATCGCCCTGCTTGAGGTTAATTGATTAAAAAAAAAGATAGCGGTTAGTGTACCTGATATCGACGTTGTAGGTGTAATCAGCGAGCTGTGTTCAAATTCTGGGATAGTCTGCTGCATTTTCGCACTCATGGGAAAGGCACACTTCATCTATCCTCCGCCAGCTATGAGTTAAAAAGCAGAATAGATTGGACTCTCTGACCCTGGATCGTAACCAGCCTAAGAGAATGAAAACTCTGAATTCTAAACCGTAGAAATGACAGCCAGAAACCACTCCACTATTTTTCCCAAGAAGTGCTTGCAATTCACGGATGATAAAAAAACGGAATTTCTATAGAGTCATGATGGCCTGTATTCTCAAGAGAAAATGCATTAAAAATAGTAATAATGGGGAGATTAACCATTGCCATACAGGAAACATTTGCCATTCACCGAGAGAATGGTTAGGATCACTCTCGATTGAAATTCATACATTTTTCTCATGAAACAGTATTTCAGGAAAATAGGTTTCTCAAGTCCAGTAGCTGTTATCCCTCTTTCTTGTATTGATGGGAGTTTCCTTCCTAACCTTTTGTTTAATGTAGTATGGAATGATAATATTTGATTATGCCATTATTTTCTCTACTAGCTATATCTGCTATTCATTTGAATTGTTGCTGCTTTTGGAAGATCTAGCGAGGAGTTGCGACTTGTTGCTGATAAAGATGAATTAAACATTTTCAAAATATTTGAACTCAAAAGTTTTCAGAAAAAAAAAAACAGACTGAGAGGATTTTTATGCATATATTTAAAACGAACAACGTAGCTCCCAAAAGAAAAGGTGTGTGAAGCGCCACGTAGTGATGTGTAATTAAGAAGTCAGCTGGCCGGAGAGTATTTTCTCGGAAGGGAAGAGTCCTGTTGTTATCTCTACTACATCCTGGAGCAAAAAGAGAAGGCTTCCTGTTATCGTCCTAAATGGAACATCATCTTGCGGGTGTTCTGGCAGACAAGGTGGTGTCTTCTTCAAGTCATGTGGCTTTTATCATTTGGTAAGGTTATAGTAACAATGAAGACTATATCAAGAAAAAAATCAAATAAAAAGAAACAATAAGGCAAAAAATAATTATAGTGAAAATGTTTCATGTAAAAACGGAGTAAACTTCATAATGAAATATTAAGAGCGAAAATTATTTATGTAAACATTAGAAAAAGAAATTAGAACTTAAAATTATCAAAGATCAGGCAGTAATATAACTATGAGTTAAGCTGGATAAGAATTCGACAGAATGGTAATTATACAAGAAATTTGGAAAACTTTAATTTTGACAAGTTTCGCCGATCAATCAGTGCCATCAGATTGATAGAAAAGTCATGTCCAAATAAAAGTTTACTGAATTGTCATATTTAATACTAGCTTAAAAGGGGAACACCGTACGGAGTTTTAAGCTAACTCCTGCGGAGAGTAAATTAGGCCTCCGTCCCAAAACTAAAGAAAGCGCTGGTCCAGCTTAGAAAACCTCACTTTAAACTCTGATACGAGCTATAAGTCCAATTCCTGCCAAAAGACTGATTTGGACCAAAATTCCCATTCAGACCAAAATTCCAATTTAGGCTAAAAATTGATATTTTCAAATCACAAACGCCATGGAACTTCAAATCAGAAATTAGGTAGAACTTTAAAGCCTTATGTCACGAACTTCTCACGTTATCTCCGATTCGTTTTGAAGAAATGTAACTGATTTCTTCAATTCACAAAGTTTTGGAGATAATTGCAAGGATGTCGTCAAATCCGCAATCTTTGTGTGAATCTAGTTTTGAGATGATAGGCCGAGTTTTGTGCATCTCACTCAGTAGAGATCCTGTTCTAGGAGGAAAATAAGGCAAAGATATTCTCATTAATCGAAAGTGAAGATGGAAGAGAAAGTTAAAGCAAAGTATTCTGTTTTATCTGCATTAGATAACAATACTTCAAACTGACTGACGAGAGGACGGACTTAAGATGTACTCTGGTTTAGCACACACTTTTGCAGAGCCGACAGTAATCTCTAGAACCATACTTGTGATAGAAGTCTCATTCTATTAGCAAATACAGACTTTGCCTCGATGAGGACACGCTTGCATTCATTACGATCGAATACAACCAGCTTATTAATTTTGGGAAAGAAATCCCAACCTTTCCACTGTTATTTCAGCATCCCATCCCACATGTTTATTTATTTTCGAAAAATCCATCTCACCTGGCTTATTTATTTTCTTCGAAACTTTCTAGAATAAATTTAAATTCCAAGCCAATGATAATTTAGAATTGCGAAACTCTTTCATTACAGGTTGAAATACTTATTTCAAATTATAATTTATTCAATTCTAAAAAATTCTACAAATCATGAATGAAAATAAAATGTTAGTTTTGTAACGTCCCGTTTTATCTCGTTATTTTAAAAATAATTTAAAAAATATGTCTAGGAAAGAAAACATTTGGAAAGCTTGCCGCGTGTTAAACTTCGACATTGCATATTCGCAATGATTTGATAGATTCGTTTTCTACGAATTATCAACCCTTTGCAAGTTATTTAAAGCCAGAAAATATATATAGATGGTAAGAATTTTTGATATAAGATAATAATGTTATAGTGATACAACTAATTAACCCATAGCTGGGGGGAGAAGCTGAGTATTCCCAAGATTATTTGTGCGAAATGAATATAATGAACGCAGCTGGAATTGGAAATCAACACCCAGCCATTATTTATTTCACCATCCGCACATCCAAGCTTATAGCAATCGGTATTCCCATGCGGTCACCCGTCCAGATACTGAACAGGGTCGACGTTGCTTAGCTTCTGTGATCGTACGGGAACGTTTCTACAGGATCTAGCCGCTTTTTGCAATGAGTTGATAGCTATTTCTAACAAAGCAGGATATTCCGTGAATTAATGAATAACAATTGAAAGCCATTAGATACAGGCTTGGCAAAGTTGACATTGGCTGCGTGGGTAGAACGTTAGCTTTCTGAACCTGAAAACCTGGGTTCGAGTCTCATCATTGTCACTTTGTCAGGAAGGTAACTTCTTGAGTTTATCGGCCTGGGGAAACGAAACAGCTTTGGAAAAAGGGCCTGAAAACAAGACTACGGGTTACGCAAATCTTGTGAAGGAAATTGGCTAGAGGAAACTGATCGCAGGCTATACTAGCCCGAATTCAAAAGCCTCCCCACCATCGTGACTGAGCGTACTGAACTCTCCGACATTCGCACATTCAAATTTACAGCAGCTGGTATTCCCTTGCGGTCACCCATCCAGGTACTGAGCAGGCTCGACGTTGCTTAACTTCGATGATCGTATGAGTGCCTGTGTTTCAACGTGATGAGGCTATAAGCCAGCACAAAGTGGTAGACCTGGAGAAACGAAAGTATGCCGTGTGAAAGTACTTTGCCAAAAAGAGGTAAAAGATTAATAGAGAGATAATTTGAGGGTTACAAGGTTCACCGGCGTCGTTAAAGACACGAATTGCATAAGAGGATTTCCAACAAGCTGGAAAGCAAAAAGCAGCAAGGCATCTGTTGTAGAGTTTGGAGAGAAGAAGAGCCAGTTCAGGAGTACATTTCTTTAAGATAATTGCAAGGATATCGTCAAATACGCAAGCTTTGTGGGAATCTAGTATCCAAATGATAGCAGAAATTATAGACAGAATAAGTGAATATTATGTAGATATGTAGGATAGATAACGGTTGACCCTAGACTTGAAGATACAAAATAGTATTTATCGGGGAAGCATTCTCTCGGGAGTCAGTACCACAACGTAACATATGTAGGGAAGAAGCTGTTTGAGTAGAACTTCTACTTTACTAAATGTTATGGTCCGGTTCCTTTTACCACGGGGATAGTCCAAGGTAGAACCAATAAAGAAGAACTCCAACACAGGTATGGAACAACACAGATATATTACAACAGGAATATATACAGAGAAGTAGAAGTGTTAGTATGAACAATCAGGTTTAGTAGAGAGAACAATGTAGTCTCGACCAGTATCACTATTCCAATGTCGTGTTTCGGACTGCCTCTGCCTCGACTCTTGACTCGACTTGAACTACTGACTCAACTTGAACTACTGACTCACTTGAACTACTGAGTGACTCCTTGTCTACTCCTGGGGCGCAGTATTTATTAAGTATGGAATAGTCCATTATTATTATTATGGGTAAGATCCCATAACACTAAAGGAATAAAAAAGGGAATAAGGATGAGTCGACCCAGTGTACATGGAATGGCAAGTCATAGCTGGGAAGGTCTGAACTGGTGGAACTAAAGAATGAAGATCGTCTGAACATTGCCATGAAATAGCGATGGAGTAGCTAGAGAAACGACGTTGTGTCTTTGGTTAAGGAGTTGTTGAATGGAAAATAATTCATCACACACAAGGACGAGTAAACGCTTTTGGATAATTAACCGGTTCGCTAATCATTTAATTAAAATTTAATCTATTGCGTTTGTCAAAAATTTCGATCTCCTGTTCAGTATAAAATCTACCTAATAAATCGAATTAACTTTTTGACCAACCCAATACATTTAATAAACTATATAAATACAGCGCAGTGTACGTGTGTCTGTCCGTTCGTTTTACGATCTCGGCGAATCATAGACAACCTGAAGTAACAGGTAGTAACTACTGTAGTTATACTCGATTAAAAATTATCAGGTCATCCGATAAGTTCTGTCCGAATTTTAACTTTTTGTTAAAATGAACGAAATTTAAAGAGTATTTTATAATGTCTAATGGAGCTGAACATTATTTTTATGTTTAGATGCATTTAAACTGATCAAATTTTATTTCAGAGAACACTAAAGTTAGATTTTGTTTGATTAAAACCCTGCTAACATGGTAGTACCCAAGAATCATTTGAGGCACATAATGCTTTATGAGTTCAAAAAAGGAAACTCAGCAGCCGAAGCGGCTAGAAACATTCACTCAGTTTATGGAGATGAATGCGCGAATGAAAGAACTTGCAGAAGATGGTTTGCAAAATTCAGAGGTGGAGATTTCACCCTTGAAGATGAAGATCGAACCGGACGTCCAGTTGAGTTTGATGAAAAGCTTCTTGAAGCATCCCTTGTAGAAAATCCTGCTTTATCAGTTGAGGAATTGGCAGTAGTTCTCAGTTCAAATCATACAACTGTTCATCGTCATCTTCAACAACTTGGAAAAATTCCTAAACTTGGAAAATGAGTGCCTCATGAATTGTTTGAAAACAACCTCAAATCCCGAGTTGACATCTGCTCTTCTCTCCATTCTCGCCAACTTGTTTCACCTTTTTTGGATAAACTTGTGACTGGCGACGAAAAATGGATCTTTTATGGAAATGTTAAGCGTCGTAGACAGTGGCTTGGTAAAGGGGAAGGACCCCAGCCACAGCCGAGAAGGGAACTTCATGGGCAAAAGGTTCTTCTTTCAATCTGGTGGAATCGCCAAGGAAAAATCCACTTTGAATTCTTACCACCTAATGCAACAATTAATGCTCAAATATACTGTCAGCAATTAGAGCGTTTCAACCAAGCTTTGAGAAAAAAAAGACCTGCTCCAGTGAATCGAAAAGAGGTGATGTTTCATCAGGACAATGCGCGACTCCACACAGCAAGAATCACGTTACAAAAGATCGAAGAACTTGGTTGGGAGAAAATTCCTCATCCACCTTATTCTCCCGATATTGCTCCTTTAGACTACCATTTGTTTCGTAGCTTACAGAATCATTTGGAAGAAACAGCTTTCGTAACACAGGAAGAGGTTAAAACTGACATTTGTAAGTTCTTCGATTGAAAGCCAAAAGAATTTTACAGTAATGGAATTAGTAAGCTTGTTAATAGATGGAAGGAAGTAATAGATAATCAGGGAAAATACATTGTTGATTGAATCTGTAATTAAATGTAACATTTGGTCACTTGTTTTCTTTATTCAAAATTCGGACAGAACTTATGGGATGACCTGATGAATAAATAACTCATTTAAAGTCAAATTTAAATATCAAATAGAGGGAAATGTTTAAAAACAGTTCTTTATCAAATGTTTAACTCTAATATCGCTTTTCGTCGCAATTTCAATTGATATCGTCTAATTAAATCGTAATTAAAACTTACGCGAGGCACAGTACGTGGGGGACGTTTTTTTCTCTTCTTCTAGCACGCGTATTTGAAATATTACATATTTCGGGTTTCCTTAATGTCTTTTAAGAGTGACTTTATGTGAAGGGATCATAAAGAATGTTGATTTTAAAAGAAAATAAAAATTGCGCGCAAAATAATTGTAAACAAACTACGGAGATCGGTTGTGAATACGAAGAAAGATTATGCCGAATTAAGCTGTTGAATAAAGATAAAATAATTTTATTATTTCTAAATTTCTAAATTCTTTTCCGTGCGTACGATATTGAATGTAAGAGGCCGAAGGTCCAAAACATCACCTCTGGAGCTAGCCTCTGTGCATCAGAAGGGTGGCTTCTATGCTAGTAGATTTATATAAGTTTCTAACGGTCGATGATGCTATAGAGATAGGATACACGCATTGGGGAATGAGAGAAGTATTAAGAAATTGTTTTAGGAGAACCCGTAAGACGTATAATCCGGTGCGGTCTCGGAATAAAAATTTGGTGATGTTCGGGCTGTTGTTTTGGACATCTCATAAGTGTTTGACAGTGTTTGGCATATTGGTCTTCATCAAAAGTTTGAAAGCTTATGATATTTCTGGACGAATGTTTAAACTAATTCAGTCTTTCTTATCAAATCGCGAAATGAATGTTATCTTGAACGGCCACTCTTCTAGATCTTTTTCCATTAAAAGGGATGTCTTCCACATCTTTATCGTTCGACCTATGTTGTTCTTAATTTTCATTAATGACCTTTTTGATAGTATCAGTTTTCAATTTGCTATCTATGCTAATGATACAACTATTTACTCCTGTCTTAGTAGTAAATCTGATCAGTTGGATAAGGTCAAATTAGTAGCTAATCTAAAAATGACCTGCAATCTCATGTTAACTGAAGATTGTTAATTTTAACGCTTCCCAAACGAAATTGCTCTCTATCAATCATCTAAAAGACCTCTTTCTGCCTTCCATTAGCATGGCTGATGCTAATATCCGTGAGGATGATTCGTTGCGCCTTCTCTGAGTAATATTTTCCACTGACACGAAGTGGAAAGATTATATTGAATCAATTGCTTGATCTACTGCTAGGAAAGTTGATTCACTGTGTCGTGCTAAATATTTTTTTCTCTCCAGAATCTATCTTACATATTTATAAGTTTGCCATTCGTCTATGCTTTATAGTCTGGTGTTCCTGCTATACATTTAGAGATTATTGATAAAATCCAAGGAAGAATCTGCAGTGTCATTTGTCCTGATCTGACATCACGACTACAGCCTCTTTCTTGACTGCTGTAATATAACTTCCCTGTGACTTTTCTATAAATACTTTCAAGGCAATTGTTTTGATGAACTTTCCTCTATGGTACCTAAACTTTATGAATTTAGTACTAGATTTGCGGCAAGATCACATCATTTAACAGTTAAAATGGCTAAATCTAACCATAAGTTCTATGATAACTGTTTCTTCAATCGCACTTCTCGCTTGTGGAACTCTCTTTTGCTTTCCTGTCAACTTTGATCTTCAAAAATTTAAATGCAATCGTTATCTTCTATCTTCTTAATTCTTGTTCTCTCACCTTAATACTATTTTTCTCATACTCCCTAACACTCAGTAACCACCCCTTGCATTTCAGTGGCTTTATTGCCTTGCTTGGGGTTAAATGATTTAAAAATATATTGTATGAAAAAACTTATCATTTGAAGCATTTTATGTAGTTGGATAATGGCCGGGTCTCAAGAATATTGGATCGTAGAGATACATTTTTAGCAAATTCTGATGAGACACAGCAAGGCCTCATGGGTAGGGGTCCAATCTTTTTACAACACTTTTCCTCTGATTCTTTACGCCATATTGTTTACCATCTCATAATTATAATAGCATTGTCTTAATTATTTTAATTCTGAGATGAAGTCTTATTGAGATTTCACTAATGATTTTTCATTAATTTTATTCACCCTTTTCTTGGTTTTTATTACGTTCTACATCGACTCTGTTATTCTGCCATTAAAAATAAAATAAAAAAAAAACGTGAAATCAGTAAGATCGAAGAAGATTGCTGTAAAAGCAACGATAAAAGATGAATGACTAATCATGAAAATAATCAGAATTCAAACTACACATTATTCGAAAAATATTTTGGTTAAAAAGAGAGAATGTTATTGTATCGAGAAAAAAAACGATCGTGTGCCAATAACATTTTATGATATGAATTAAAAAATTTATTTA